CAGGACTGTAGTTCACATTTTGCTCTTTGTGAGGTCCCGCGTTTGTATCATTGACGTTATTAGCTGTATTATAGTCAGATATAGGGGACGGGCCGTCCTCCATTTCCGGGTAACAGAGCAGAGGTTTCTGAGTACGCGGAGCTGTATAAATATGTCTGCGATTTCTTTCCACTGTCGAACCATCCTGTACCGCTAGCTTATATGATCTCGGCCTATCACAAGTGTCAATTATTTGAGCAGGTTGTAGTGAGGTACGCATCTCTTTTCTCACTAAAACCTGATCGCCCAGTTTCAGAGGTCTTAGGGTGCGATTACATGGAGCGTGGAAACGCGGAAAAGCGGAATAGAAAGTAACTAGATTCCGCGTTTCCGTCATTTCTTCCCTCGTGCTTAAGCGGAAGACGGAATCTGCTAATTCTTTGAATGTATGCTAATAAACAGAACAGTCGTTAGAAGAAGTTATTTTAAAATGAATAATCCTGAATATTTATGTAATTTGATAGTTTCATAAATGTAATATTTATATTATGTATATAGAATCAATTGCATGCAATTTTGAATATTTAATATGTTGCTGACAGTGTGTCTTTAACCTCAACTTTAAATTCACTATTCTTTATACGTGAGGATGGAGGGATATGGAGTGAATGCGTCTCAAATAAATGAGATAATGCACTATTATCGAAGACACCTCCATCACTTTGTCGGCCCTGAGCTCCAATATTGACGACGAGAAATCGGTTCAAAGCGTCACATATCGCAAGCAAGTTTATGCTGTGGCTCCCTTTGTAATTGTAATAAGATGAGCCACTACGAGGTGGTGCCTATAACTGGAACGCATTATTATAACAGAATACTCATTCTAGAAATATAAATAAATATTTAATATATATTCCTGAATAATCACGTTCTTCCCATCGATAGCTCCAATGCAGTGTGGAAATTGGCATATTCTTTCAAAGTCTTCAGCAACTTTTCTCCAATTGTTTTGCGTAGCATTAATGAGAACTCTATCTTTTAGGGCAAGCCAAATTTGTTCACAAGTTTCCGGGATGATATGCGAAAGTGTACATTGGGCAATGCGATAGGCGTAGGACAGTGAAGTCATACTATCACCCGAAGCCAACCATCGTAGGGTCACATGCAATCTAGTTTCAGCACTTATTGGATTGCGAACCACTTTCTGTTTTTCAATCCGAGGTCCAACAATTGTCAATAATTCATTGAACATTGTTGGTGACATCCGTAAATAGTTGAAATATTTTTCTTTGTCAAATAATTGCATCTCGACGATTAGATTATTACTAGCACCTTGTAACAATCTTTGTTGTTCAGAAAAAATGGGTCTTACCCACATTTTAAGTTTTGGTCTTTTATCCAATTGTTTCAAGCAATTGTAGATATAAAACAATTGTGTCACTTTTTGCATCGTTGCCTCTGCATATCTTCTTGTTTGATTTTGTGTTTGTATCACTAATGTGATCACGACCATTTCATTCAACCGATCCATTTTTTTCGCCGGTATGGTTTGGTTCACGTGGAGTTTCCGTGCGTTTTATTCCGCCTGTTTTCACCTCCTAATATTACATGGAACACAATTTCCGCGGAAAAGCGGAACGGTATAGTGACAAATACACTTTTATATTCATTTAAAAAAATTGTATTCACTTAATTCATTACAATTTTTATTAATATGTTTATCTTTTTAGCTTTTGCATTGAATACAAGTATTTTAATCAATAAATATCGTTAAAAATTAATAATTTCTAATACCCCGTTCCGCTTTTCCGCGAAAATTGTGCTCCATGTAATATTAGGAGATCAAAACAGACGAAACAAAACGCGCGGAAACGCGGAAATTTAGTAAAATCTAGATAATTTTGTCTTCCGCTTTTCCGCATTGTTTGGTACGTTCACAAGAATCTTTTAACATAGTGGGTAGTATACTTCTAGTTTTTCTACCGAACATTAATTCTGTTGGTGAAGGAATTTTGTCACTTATAGGAGTATTCCTATATTCAAGTAAGGCCAAATTCATGTCTTTCCCATCATTCTCACACTTTTTTAACATCTGCTTGATTGTACCGACGAATCGTTCCGCTAATCCGTTCGACTGTGGGTATCTCGGGCTTGATGTTCTATGCTCAAAGTTCCATTTAGATGTGAACTCTCTGAAATGCGAATTTACAAACTGCGGACCATTGTCCGAATATATTAAGTTGGATATACCGAATCTAGCGAAAATCGATTTAAGATGTATGATAACTGTGCTGCTAGATGAGTCACTTAGTTTCGCTATTTCTACATACTTACTAAAATTATCCACTGCCAATAGATACTCACAGCCTGCATAGTAGAACAAATCTATACCTATGACTTGCCACGGACCTTGGGGAGTTTCTCTGTCTACATACGTCTCTTTGCTTTGAGCTTTTTGGTACCGTAGACAAGTCTCACAGTTTTGTATTGTGTCTGTAATTTGCTTAGACATGTTGGGCCAATATAATATTTCTCTGGCACGTGACTTACATTTTTCTATGCCAAGATGATTGTAATGTATTTTATTAAGCATCTCCTGTCTGAGACTTGAAAGAACTATTAAACGCATACCCTTATAAACCAGATCATCTATTATAGACAGTTCATGCTTGAATGTCGCGTAAACTTTAATGGAATCTGGAATTAAATGTTTGTTTATGGGCCATCCATTTACTATATACTGCTTAAGCAGTTGTAGGCTATCGTCGTTTAGTGTTTCATGTACAAAACGTATATATTGCGGATCGCTAATAGGCAGATTATCTCTAATCATGCACACTTGAGCTAGTATCTCCTCATCTAAGAGTGAACTTTCATCCGTCATGTACGCTCGTGACAACGCATCTGCTAAATATAGTTCTTTACCTGGTTTACATTGTACTTTAATGTCATAGGGTTGTAACATTAACCTAATTCTTTGAAGTCTAGCCGAACATTTATTCAGGGGTTTCGCAAAGATCGCTTCTAATGGTTTGTGATCGCTTTCCACAACAACTTGTCGACCATATATATAGTAGTGGAAACGTTTACAGGCAAATGCAATTGCTAAAGCCTCTTTTTCAATCTGTGCATAGTTTTTTTGTGTATTGTTTAATGAGCGTGACGCATACTCAACTGGAAGATTGTTTTGAAGAAGTACTGCACCAAGACCCGATTGTGAGGCGTCTACACTAACAACTACTGATTTACGCGGATCGAAAAATTGTAGAACTGGTGCAGAGATCAGACTATTTTTTAGGTCATTGAATGCTTGTTCGGCGTTTTGATCCCACAACCAAACGGTGTTTCTTTTAGTGAGGTTTCTCAGTTTGGTAGTTTTTTGTGATAAATTTGGAATAAATTTGCCTAGATATGTGAGCATGCCTAAAAACGTTTCCAGTTCTTTGACATTTGCCGGTTGTTTCATAGATAGTATAGCAGTTACCTTATTTGGATCAGGGCTTATGCCCTCGCTAGAAAAAATGTGGCCCATGTATTTAATTTTAGATAGGCCTATTTTACATTTAGCAAGATTAAATTTAACACCTCTCTGTTGAGCTCGGTTAAGTACCTCCATGAGTCGTTTGTTATGTTCTGTTTCATCCTTTCCATGTATTATTACATCGTCCAAATATACTTCCATTCCTTCAATATTTGAAAAAATGTCTTGGAAGCATCTATGAAATACTTCTGGGGCAGAAGAAATTCCATATGGAAGACGCAGGAATCTGTATCTGCCAAAGGGCGTATTAAAAGTTGTCAGCTTAGAGCTTTTCTTTGTTAGTTTAATTTGCCAAAATGCTCTGTCTGCATCTAACGTACTGAATACGCGTGATCCTGCTATTTTGGAACATAAATCTTCAAATGTTGGAATATAGTGATATTCTCTTTGAATGGCTTGATTTAGATGTGGATCCAAACAGACTCTTAAACTTCCGTCTTTTTTAGTTACTAATACTAGAGCATTCACCCAGTCAGTGGGTTCTTGTATTTTCTTGACAATTCCTTCGTCTTCCATTCTTTGGAGTTCTTGCTGTAATTTCTCTTTAAGTCTTAGAGGAACTCTTCTACATGGCTCTATGTGACCTAAGTTATGTTTTAATTTAATATCGTATTCATAGTTAGAAATGCATCCAGATCCTTGTGCAAATTGTTTTATATTGTCATTAGTAATGTTGACTGTTTCAATTCTTTTTAGTAAATTCAATTTTAAAAGAGTAGGTAGTCCTAATGCAGCAGGAGCCATTGCATTTACCACTTCAAATTCGATCTGTGTACTTACATTTTTAGAAGTCGTACATTTAATAAAACATTTACCAACTACTGTAATCGGATTGCCACCGTATGTCGTTAACTTTGCATTTGACTTCTGTATGATACTATGAGAAAGTTTTAATTCATCAAAAATTTGAAGTGGTAATACATTACATTGTGCTCCCGTATCTAGTTTTACCACTAAGGTTTTATTATTGTTAACTACTAACTTTTCTGTCCATTCGCTAAGCTTAGCATTAATGCAACTATAATGAAAAATTGATCTAGAGATTTTGTCTGTGATGTATTTTGCTCTACTTGGTCTATGCTTTTTACATTATTGTTAACAGACTTATATACCTTGGCGAAATGATTTAATTTCTTACATTTTACGCATGTTTTACGAAATGCTGGACACTGACGTAAGGGATGTTTAGTGCCGCACTTGTAGCACACCTTCGTGGTCATCAGCTGATCTGTATTCGCGTTCATCGTCGTATGGGATGTTGCCAATCTGTTAGCGTGATTGTTGTTTCTTCCCGATCCAGGTCGTCTATTTTTATTTGTCTGCTTGTTCAAACCTGACCGTGCCGTATTCTGCTTGGCGTTGACTGCATGTACCTTTCCGTACGTTTCCGTAGCTAGTATCTTAATCTGCTGTGCTAGTTCTGCAGCCTTACAGATTTTAACACATTTGTCGAGATCGAGATCATCCTCGCGA